CTAGGTATGTGAGCACTTAACACCTACCAGACTTATATACGATAAGTCTGTGGATCGCTCAATTTGTGAGTTCCGCGCAGATTCCAGCATCCACAAATACTTCCAGTCAGAAAACACTGATTATAAGGTACTGCTAAGCTATGCAAAGCTTTAGAAAAGTAGTGTCAAATTACTTGCAGGGTAGTGGTTACGATCGCGGACATCTCGCAGCTGCTGGAAATCATAGAAGATCACAGAATTCCGTCGACCAGACATTTTTGCTATCAAATATGAGCCCACAAGTAGGAAGAGGTTTTAATCGTGATAAGTGGAACGATTTGGAGAAGTATGCTAGGTAAGAAATATGTGCTGTTTCGCTGCAATGTAGTATATGATTGAATTCTAGGAAAGTTGCAAAAAAGAGTCTTAACACTTATATTCTTACGGGGCCTCTTTATCTGCCGCGAAAAGCAGATGATGGAAATAAATACGTGCGATACAAGGTAAATTTTAACAGTTTTATTTGTCTTCGTCCCATGCTGATCAAGATTTTCTGATATTTTTTGCTTGGTTTGAATAATGTCTTAGTTTCCTCACATTTCAAGGTTATTGGAGCTAATAATGTAGCAGTACCTACCCACTTTTTCAAAGTAATTCTTGCTGAGACGTCGCCAAGCAACTTTGAGATGGAATGTTTTGTTCTCCCAAATGAGGTATATCTGCGAACTTTCAGAGATTTGCGTCTCTATTTATTATTTTTTCTTTGAGGTTCTTCCCGATACCGCTGAGTTATCCGTCTTCTATGTTCCATTAGAGATGATCGAGAGATCCGCTGGATTCTTAATCTTTGATAAGCTTCCAAGCGATAAGCTGAAAAAAGTGAATGGGAAAAAAGTGGGCGGGTTCTGGTAGTCTTTGAGTTCTGTGTGCAGCTTCTTCTAGCAACAGTCAGCATTTTACAAGTTGAGAGGGACAGTTTTAGATGATAGTAGGCTAGATCGCTTTGTCAGTAGTACTGTATCAAGTATACTTTATAGAACATATGGAAGACTTTATATCACGTTATCTACTTATGCAAAACTTCATACATCATCGTTTTGTTATTGTTATCTTGTCATTTTTCATAGTGCATCTCATATTTGTGGCATGTTACCCTTCCTCACGATCTATCGTAACCCTCAAGTCAAACTACCATGCCAAATCGGAATATCGGGCATTTTTAGGTTGCAAATTTTGTTTGTGATACAGCTATTATTATCACCTTCAAACATTCTCCCATGTTGAAGTAACAGAGTTGAGCTGTTTCTTATTTATTACTTTCCCGCAGGGTAAAATGTGTTATTTTCTGTTCGTCATTCAAGAATAGTAAATATGGCTCTAGTCGCTTTATTGTCGTAGATAGTGGAGTAAAGCTTCACCTCTGAGGAAAAAATGTGTACGAGTGAAAGGCTCGAACTCGGTTGCTGCACATTACAACGGTTTTGGAGATAGTTAAAATGCTTCAAAAGAACA